TTCCTGAACAAATATCCGAAAATAAAAATGTGTAAGTGTATGTGTGTCTCTTTGTGCGTGCCCGTGTGGGGGTGTCTGTGTCTGTCTGTTTGTGTGTGTGTCTGTGTGTGTGAGTCTGTGTCTGTATGTGTGTGTGTGTTTGTCTGTTTGTGTTTTAAGCAGTATGTTACTGTGATCAAATGTTAGTGTACCAAAAAAGTATATATTTTTTTATGAATTTATGGATATAGCTAAGTATTTCCACCCAAATTAGTGTTTTTCAGAAATCTTTATTTTTGAAGACTTTTTTCAGGAATTTATTCTTATAGTATTTTACTGTGATCAAATGTTGGCATAGTAAAAAATTATATTTTGTTATTGTTTTTTTTCTCTTAATTTCAGGTCACAATGACTATATTTGTCCAGCTACGAACCAGTGCACCATTGACAAGAACCGACGTAAAAGCTGTCAGGCCTGTCGTCTGCGTAAATGCTATGAAGTAGGAATGATGAAATGTGGTAGGTTCAAACAACTATTTTATTTTATTTTATTATTTTTTTATTAGTCAAATCAAATATATATTTTAATTTATATGAAAGCATCTTTGTTAAGATTTAATTTCTTAAACCAGGGGTGGCAAACTGTTCCACAAAGGGCCGGTGTGGCTGCAGGGTTTGTTCCAACCTATCCAGACCACAATGATTGACCAATTAGCAGTCTGAAGACTAAGATCAGTTGATTTAAAGAGCCAAGACAGGTGTGCTGCTCCTTGGTGGAGCTCCTGTCTTAAACAGTAATATGTATTCCACAACCTAAGAATTAATTAAAAAAAAAGAAAAGTATAAATTTAGCTAACGTTTGTCATCTATTATGACTTTTTTTTTTCATTTACTAGGTGTCAGACGTGAGCGCTCTGGTTATCGTGGGCCTCGACATCGCCGTGGCGGACCTCAGTCTCGTGGTGTGCCCGGCAGAGAGCTGCTCAGGGTTGGACCAGGGTCTCGAGCTCAGCGACATTTATACCTGGAGGCACCACTGGCACCATACGCCTCCCTCCCCCAGGCCATTCACGTTCACCCATCAACCATGAGTCCAGAAGAGTTCATCAGTCGGATCATGGAGGCTGAGCCTCCAGAGATCTATCTGATGGAGGATCTGAAGAAACCGTTCACTGCGTCCAGCATGATGATGTCACTCACCACCCTGGCTGACAAAGAGCTGGTTCTGATGATCAGCTGGGCCAAGAAGATACCTGGTATGACCAAACATCAAGGCTTAGCAACAGATAACTAACCCTTATAATATTTGTGATTTCAGAGTTTGTCACAAGCTGAGCAGGACTGTGGTTCTCGTGTCTTTTTTTAGTGGCTAATTTGTGTATTGTGGCTATTCTCTGCTGTTTAACTATTTTTGGGGGGCTTGTTTGTGGTATTGTTTGATTTGCTTCATCATACAGCTTTCTCCTCCTACAGGGTTTTCAGAGCTGAGCCTCTCAGACCAGATCCACCTGCTGAAATGCTGCTGGCTGGAGATCCTGATGCTGGGCCTGATCTGGAGGTCAGTGGACCATCCTGGGAAACTCATCTTCTCCCCTGACTTCAAACTGAACAGGTGGGTTTTAACATGGAGGCCTGTCCTGATTGTTTGCTGCTGTTGTTCTTACATTACACAGAGGGTTGACTCAAACCTTAGAGCAGAAAACATATCTGTACCATTTGGTCACAGATATCTCCGGGATCACCTTTGTTGCCTGTGGTTTTATTGCCAAAAGACTTTTATCACTGGCTGTTCCCAACCGCACTGACCTTCACTTTGGCCACAGTGCTGCTTCTGCTGCTGCTGATTCAACATTAAAACAAAATTTAAATTGCTAAAAGTAAAGAACTTACCTACAGTCCATGATGTGTTAAAAACAAAGAATGTTTTTTAAGCTGTTCTGTTCTAACTGAAAAATAATTACCTTTTTCCTATTAAGTTCTAGTTGCTGATAATTACGTCACAGTAGTAACGATAAATTGTTAATAAACGGAGATTGCATTTAGTGATTTTTTTTTAAGCCAGAAATTACAAAACTGTGTGTGTTCCTGTGTGTGTGTGCACAGGGACGAGGGTCAGTGTGTGGAAGGCATCATGGAGATTTTCGACATGCTGCTGGCAGCCACGTCTCGATTCCGTGAGCTGAAGCTTCAGAGAGAGGAGTACGTCTGTCTGAAGGCCATGATTCTCCTCAACTCCAGTGAGTTCTGCAAAACAAAACCACACAAGTCAAGATTTAAAGGATTGTTCTTCAGAGCTCATTCTTGAGCTAAGTTATAGACTCATCTGTTTTTCATGTTTAAGTTTTACATGTTCTGGTTTTGGGTTCTAAGACCTATTTTTAGACCAGCATTCAGCTGCTTGTGGCTACTTTAGCCAACTTCTTAAACTAACTTGTGTCAAACCTGCTGTTTTGGCTATTTATGTTTTATCTATGGCTATTTAACTCTAAGTTGTGTTTTAACAGTTAGCTGTCAAACACTTTTTGAAGCATCATGTTTGGACCTTGTTGTAGCTGTTGGTTATTTTTCAGCTATTTTCTATTGCTAACATATTTTTTTCGCCTAATATTTCAGCTATTTTTTTTGCAATTATTACGTAACGTTTTTGCTAATTGATTATTTATAAGTTGCATTATCTTTAGCTGTTTTGACTACCTTTTAGGCTATTTTATGCAACCTTTTAGATTTGTATTTGCGTTCCTAAGTGGTTTTTGTTGTTGTTGTTTGAATTTCAGATCTGTGTAACAGTTCTCCTCAGACCACAGAAGAGCTGGAGAGTAGGAACAAAATGCTGCAACTTCTGGACTCTGTGATCGACGCTCTGGTCTGGTCCATTTCCAAACTGGGACTGACCACGCAGCAGCAGACGCTGAGGCTCGGGCACCTGACCATGCTGCTGTCACACATCCGCCATATCAGGTACACAGCAACCAAAATTACATCAGGTGTAGCAACATGCTAATCAACTCTTGATTAACTGACTTTTCCTGTTTTTGTGATGAATTTAGGGACAATCATATATTATCTTTTTCTAACAACCAACTCAGGTCTATATTTTAGCAGATTTTAAATGGTGAATGAGGATTTCTTACATAATACAGCAGGTTATGTTACATTATTTTAAAAAACCAAAACAATTATTATTTATTGGAACTTTATCACAAGTCTTTCAGCTAGATGTGTATTTTGACTTCTCTCTTTGTTTTGACAACTAATTTTATGGAGTGTTGTCTTTGGGCGTTCATAAGTCAGTATAAACAGTAAGGAGTTTTTGGACATGCAGTACTAAGAATGCTTTTTTTTAGCATTTGAATGACAGATCTTCAAACTAGTCAAACCTTAGTGTGTTTGTTTAGATGTGTTTTTTTTGTCATTTTTGATAGTTTATATTTTCTTGCAATTTTTTTGTATTATACTAATGTAGTTTTAGTAAATAGTATGTTTTTGGCACAGATTATAGTTTTAAATTAAATATTTTTGGCATCTGATAGCACATTTTGGAACATTTAATTTATTTGCATTTTTTAAGAAAGGTATAATAAAGTTTCTGGTTAATTAAACAAACAGAATCAATATTTAGCTTTTTACCATTTTATTGCAATTTGTTGCCTTCTCCATTAGCATCTTAAACCAATGTTTTCTTCTATTCTGACATATGTTACTTATGTTAGCACAAATTATACATGTAATTTTGTCTGTTTTAGGTTCTTAGAGAAAATAAGATTTTAAAATTTTCTTGCAGTATTAAAGGTTTTTCTGTTGTTTTCTCTGCAGTAACAAAGGTATGGACCACTTGTGCACCATGCAGAGGAAGAACGTGGTTCTGGTCTATGACCTCCTCCTGGAGATGCTTGACGTCAACACATCCACCAGCCAGACGTCATCTTCGCCGGCCTCAGATATGTTCTCAGACCAGAACCAGAACCCATACCAGCATTCCCAACCGCAGTCCCAGACTTGCTCAGAGCAGAACGCTGCTGCTGATCACACCAACACTGTGCCTCTACACAAACCCACCAATGCCCCCATACTGGACCAGCATCTGCAGGATATGCCTTTCCAGCCCACAGTTGCAGCTCAAAGTCTAGTGGTGACCCACATGGACACCTGCAAGTGAGTGAACCAGAACAAATTTTACTACATACTACATAGCCAAAAGCTAATGAGTAAACAAAATCAGGTCTAAAAGTATGATTCAGAATACTTAGCATGATGCTATATCTAACTAACTCTTAGGTATTCACAGGGATTAAACCATTCTTTAGAATGTTGTATTACGCTTGGCCAATATCTAGGGGTAGCAGTTAGCTGTGGCCGCTTGCTAACTCTCAGCTTGTTTGTTGCTAAGGTGGTCAATGATGTGGAGCACAGGTCAGTCCTCTGTCCATGTCTGTGTTTAAAGCTTCTGGGAAAAATCCTTCAGCGCTCCATCAGAACAGACTGTAATGATCTCTGTAACATGTACTGTGTATTATGTTTCTGCTTTGTGCATCTGCCAAAGGCACAATGGAAATCTCTGAGCTTCCCTGCAAACATGAAACATGCAGTGGGAGTGACGATTAGTCTAATTTACAACTTGACTAACTCGTAGAGTCCCACAGGACCTCTACAAGACAGACTTGAAGAGCTCCCCTGTGATGTTCCTCCTGCACCTGAGTCTGAAGAGTGAAGATTGTAACAAACCCAATCACACTGACCTTTGACCTCTGATGTGACCTCTAACCTGTCAGGATTGTACCAGAGCAGGAGGACCGTACTGTTTAAATCTGATTTGGGGCTTTAGGTTTTGTTAAGCCAGACCATAAACACAAAGCCTGGGTATGTTGCACCTCCTTCACAGTACAGGTCTTGGGTCTGTGTCTGCTCTGATGGACCTTCTGAAAAAAACAAAAAACATCTTAGACTGAACATGTAGAGAGAAGAGAGGACCGACCTGAGATGGACTCCACAGACGTAGGAGGTGGAATCTTCTTGTTCTTAGCTTGTAACTGTTGTTTTTTTTCTCCCTCAGTTACATTCCGGCAGAGCAGTGGACGATGGACAATAGTCCTTCCAACATCATCATCTCTGACAGAATGGTCATGGACTCCACAATGGACTGATCCAAAGATCAGAAAAAAAACAGGGAAAAAAAAGCTAAACAAAAACCTGTTTTCTGTCCATGGGACGTTCTTCATCTCTGAGAACATGCAGTATATATGTCACTGTTGTGTGTTTGTTGATGTTCTCTGTGAATTTGCACTAAAGTCAGTGTTTTTACGATGACATCACTTTTAGCTGTTATTTCTCTCTTTGACATCACAGCAGAAAAACCATGGACTTGAACCCACAACCTGTTCTGACTAACAAAAACAAGGACTTGTTGACTGTTTCTCGTCTCCTGTGCCTTTAAATTAGACACGAGTTGTGTTTCTATGACATTTACTCGCACACAACTGATTATAGCTTCTTTAAAAAATCTCATTAATTAAAATTTCTCAAAATCTTAAGTCTAACGTCCTTACCTTTGTTTTTCTTCTGCTTAAAAGTCCAAAAGTCAGTGATTTTGCTCAGAGCCCACAGCATTGGCTCCATCCATTTGTACCTGAAGAAAAAATAAAAACATTGCAGATGTGAACGATGTGAACAAGATAAACAAAAAAACAAAAAAACATTTTTCTTCCTGATGAACCTCTGCAATTAAACACTCACCTGAAACAAACGCAGATTATGTCTCCAAAGGCTAAAGACTGTTTTACCTACAGTTTGGAAGAAAAACAGTTCTCGGTACTTGACCTTAGCCTTCTTCAACTTCTCATTGGTCCAAAAAAATTGGACTGGGATATTAGAAAATGAATCAAAAAGAAATGACTCAAAACAAAGACACTCAAAAAGCTCAACTCAAAAACTCTGTAGAAACAAATCAATATAAGATAATGACAGTGTAAAACTGATTAATCAACATTAGGCCAAACAGATAAAAAAAAGTTAAAAATGAATTCAGGTGGTCCCAAAAAAATTGGCAAAAAAAAGGAAGAAAAATATAACCAAGTAAGATTTTGCCCAAATTTTGCAGCACAGTTTAAAGTGGCATGATGCCAAAACAGCCAACATTCATATTTTCAGACAGTAACACATACAGTCTCATTTAATTTAAAAACTGAACTAATTGTTTCTGTTGTCATGACAACATTCTAAGGCTCTTTCTGGTAAACGTGAGAAACATGAATTTACCCTCATGTTTCAGTAGGAGGCAGTGTTGCCTATGCGCTTGTTTGTTTGTTTTTCCATTCTCTACCACTGTGAACATTGGTGTTTTTGTTCCTGTTTTGTTTCTGTTTTTCTCTATTGTAAACAGGAACATAAATGTTAGTGAAGTGGAGAAGCAGTTAAGTCTTCTTTTTTTCTTTCTTTTAAAATGACTTAAATTAAAACTGTTTTTGTATTTTTTTATCTGCTGGAGTGAAAGGTGCATTATGAAAGATTGAGTTATTGACAAAACCATATTAAAATATATAAACATACATATATATATATATATAGTACATATATATGGTGCATATATATAGTACATATATATACTGTATGTACTGAAATACTGAAAACTGACTAAAATAAAACCACAACATACAAGAAAATGAGTCAAATGACAACTGAAAAACAACAGTAGGATAAGTAAAGGCTAGCTTACGTTCTCAAAATTTGAAGAAAAGACAAGTGAATGTTAGCTGGGAAAATTAGCCGAACATTAGCCACATCTGAACAGTTCCCTGTTGTCTTAAACTTAGCTTCAGCCTTAGCCACAGTCAAAACAACAGCAGCCGCTAAGAACTGTTGAAATCAGGTCAACAGATCAGCTAGACAGATAACTGTTAGTCCACAAAATAGCTAAAGGTTAGCTTTGGCATCTGCATAAATATACTAGTAAAAAAACAGTAGAAGAAAAAGCAAAGTCAAAGTTGTTTAATGTCAACACTGACCAAACAAAGTACATCCCAGAATAAAAACTGGATAATTAATTCCCACATTGACACTGTGTATGGGCTTCAACTACAGTCAGGTCAGGAAAATGTGACCCACACCGTGGACATGTGAATACATACGCCAGAAAATGTGGACTTCAACATTCTAATGCAAAGCTTTGTCCTCTAAAAAGGAGCAGAACACATGGTCCCCCAGTCTGATGTGGCCCAACAGTTTTTAAAGGTGTGGAACAGACTAATCCTTAACAACAATCTAGGACATGTCACATGTTGGCCACATGATACTGCTGGTCTACTAGTTTCAGAATGATGTGACCCACATTCTGAATACCAGATATGGAACAGATTTTTTGTTTGTTCACAGTGACAAAACAGTTGAGACCATATTCTTAATTACCTTAATTACATAACTTTGTCCGATAATCAGCCTAGGGTTCAGACAAAGGACTACAAGAACAGACATGTTCTGGATACCAGAGGGAGATCAGACAGGTTAGCCTGGTGAACCACGGGTCTTAAAAAATGTGGACCAAATGACATTGTCGACCAGACCATGGAACAGAGTACAATGATAATAACTGCAAAATCATGCAGTTGGCTGCATGGATTGTGGCCTACATTCTATACACTCCATTCAAGCCAGATAAAAAACTTGGATTCAACATCTGGACACCAGATGTGGACCAGATATGTCTAGTTTTAAGAAAGCGAAGTTGAAGTGGCCTACCTTCAGAACAGTAGATGTGGTCTACATCATCTCTGAGGTCCAACATACAACCTAAATAATGTAGCAAACATTTCACCAAGATGTGAGGTCAGAATAACATTTGAATGTGGTTCTACTACTGGTCACCAGATGTTGGTCAGGTATATTTTCATATCCTATGTGGGAATAGAAGGTGGACTACCACATTTAACATCCCAGATTAGGGTTGGACAATTTTGTGTAATTCAAGAATGTTACTCCTATTCCATAATTCCAAATATGGACAGGACTGTTTTTGTCTGGTCCACCATTGGTCCTGGGGTTGAGCATCTGTTTTAGCATTGATAAGGCCTACATTCTGGATACCTAATATGGTCCACTTCACTTTTAATAATCAAAGATTATTGGATTGTAGAAAATTTGGTAGACAAAATATATATTTTTAGTTAAATAGCTTATTTATGTGGACTGGATTAGAATTTTTTTGTTGCTGGTTCTAATCATTATGGCTTTTTTATCGAATCTTCTATAAATAAACATATAAGTTAAAAAAAATCTGGAGTCTGTCAGATGTAAAAGTTCAGTGACTGTATGTGGCTTTCACGTGGGTGGCGGTCCATTGGTGTATCGCAGCATGGGGTAGAATGAGCGGGCAAAGTTGTTGGACAGCGTGCAGCTGAAGTGGTCCTGGGACACAGGGACCATGCAGACCAGGACCAGCAGAAACAGGACCAGCAGGTGCAGAGGGAATGCAGCACGAAGGACTCGGGAGAGGAAGGGTCGCAGTGGAGGCGAGTCTGGTCTCTGATGCCTAAATAAGGACAGTCTGTCAGGTGAGGTTTAACTGTGACTCACTAATACCCCCTGTGGCCATGATAGACTAGAACATAGAAATGAAAAATAATAATAAAATATTAACAGATTAATAATATCTAAGAGGATTCACAAACAAAATCTCCATAAACAATAGCTTTGATTGCTAAGTTATCTTTAACAAACATGGTTGAAAAAGATAATAGTAAAAAAGGAACCCAAAACAATGTTAGCAGTAAGAAAGACCTACAACTTGATTACAACTAGAATAGCTAGAACTGCATGCCGGAAAGACTGAGTCACAATGTGTTTAAGCCCACAGGGTGTGTTATAAAAATAAAACTAGTCAACAAGAGAGGTAAAAAAAAGGTAATGTTACTGTGCTTTTTAATTCAGTTACACTTGAATGATATTCAAATAGGTGCAATGACGATGGGAAGAAGAGCGTTTACTATTGTGTGTCGCCAAACCTTTTATTATTACATTGTTTGGTAAGTCTGTATCAAACAAGTAGCTCTCTGTGTTACTGAGTGCCCTTGAAATAGCTCTCAGTTTCAGAAAGGTCAGTGACCCCTGGTTTAGATAATATAATAATAATATATTATTATTGTAACAAAGTAATTTTAATTTTATTTAAAATTGTTTTTATTGTAGAGATTTGAACCAGAAACGTTCAGTATTTACCTCTGATCTGCAGACATTCGGACGGTTGCTGCTTCAGCCTGAAAAATTAGAGGACATGGGAAGAGGATGAGTGAGTGAGTGAGTGAGTGAGTGAGTGAGTGAGTGAGTGAGTGAGTGAGTGTGTGAGTGTGTGCATGTGTGTCCGTGTGTTTGTGTGTGTGGCTTCCCTTTAACTACAGACTGTGATGCTCCTTTTTGTAATGTTGTTTTGTGGTTAGAATTCAGAAAAAATATTCTACTAAATGTCGACTAAATGACTAAGCGAAGAACAACTGAAGAACAACTGAAGAACAAGTGAAGAACAAACGAAAAACAAGTGAAAACAATCGATCAGATGTTGACTAAGTAACGTCCAAGCGACCTCGAAGTGACGTCCACGTGACGTCCAAGCGATCTCCAACTTGGACGTCACTTTGAGGTCGCTTGGACGTTACTTAGTCGACATCTGATCGATTGTCTTCACTTGTTCATCAGTTGTTCTTCACTTGTTCACACACACTTTCCCCAAACAAATCTCCAAAAATTAAAACTCTTTCCAAGTGCCCTCGAAGTGACGTCCAAGTTACCTCCAACTTGGAGGTCGTTTGGAGGTCACTTGGACATCACTTAGACGTCACTTGGAGGTCGCTTGGGTGTTACTTAGTCGACATCTGATCGATTGTCTTCCCTTGTTCACACACCCTTGTGTGTGTGTCTGTGTTTGTTTGTCTGTGTCTCTGTGTGTGCGTGCGTGTGTGTGTGTGCGTGTGCGTGTGTGTGTGTGTGTATACCTTGTGGCCTATGTCACAGACTCCTTCCAGACCAGTAAAGTTGATGTCAGAGCAGCAGGATTTCTGAACAAACAACATTGTTTTTTGTTTTTTTTTATCTGCTTTACCCAGTTCAACAGAAAAACATGTCATGCCATGGTTTTTTATTCAACATTAGTTGATTAGTTGTTGTAAAGTTTGAAGTAAATTATAACTACAGTTATACAGTAAGCATTAATAAAACTAAATAAACGTACTTTTTTTAACCTTAATTAATTTCACTGGTCTGCCCTAACATTTTCAAAGTTCTTTACCTTTTTGCGACACACACGTAAAAATCAAGGGATAAAAATGCATTCAACCACGTGTTTACCAGTCTCTGTTGCAGTCTGTTCATCTGGGTGTCGGCCTGTCTTAACAACAGGCGGATTTTGTTGCTGATGACATGAACCTTCTCTTTGGCCTCCAGGCTGTCTTCACATGTGGCCTCCAGGAGGAGCTGTGATGAGATGTCATGCAGTGATAAGGCCTGGCTCTGGCGTCTACGAAGCTTCTCCTGTAGATCCTGTACCAGGGGGCGACAGAGAGCACAGCTAAAGTACCGGATTTAAGTTTTTATTTTATTATTTTATAAAATAGGAGACTTAATTCTTTAATCTTAAAAGGTAAATCATGATAAATCAACAATTACTCCGCACTGATGGTTTGCCCACGAACTCACATTTAGTGCATCTCGTTGTTGCAGCAGAGCAGGTTTAGTCACTGAGCAATCGCTGACGTTTAAAGCCTGGAGCCTGTTTTCTGCCTGAGCGAGCCACAGCAGGAGAGAGTGCAGCGTCTCATGGAAGTCCTAAACAAACAATAAACATAACTAAAAGTTAGCACAAAGCCAGCTAAAGGTATTAGCAAGTAATAAGCAATGACAGTAAAAACAAAAAAAAGCTAAGTGAAAAAATAGGCTAAAATTACAGCACAGATATTTAGTTTCCACATTCGCTTGCTGAAAGTTAGCTATGAAATAACATGACCAAGAGCTTAAAGTCAGGCAAGGGATGAGGTAAAGTTAGCACAATGACAGTGTGATTAGCCAAGGAATTATTATTAATGAGTCAAATAACAGCTTAAAGTAAGCAAAGAAATTTAAGAATTTACTGTAGCTCAAAGCCAAAACTACAGTGCAAATGGTTTTAAATCTGCCTAAAAAATAGGTGAAAATTGGGCTGGAGAAACTCTCACTCTATATTTAGCCCAAGCATAACAAAACACAAGAAATTAAATTTAGCCAAAACATCTTAAAGTACTGACAGATAATTTATTCAGAAATACCAAAAACAACATTCAGGAAGATATAACAGAAAGGATGGTAGCTAAAATAGAAGCTCACAGACAGCTAATAGTTAGCTGAAAACAGATTCTCTTTAGCCCGACTTTAGCCTCCTCCAGACTGACCTGACACTGGATCAGCGCTGACCTCAGCTTCTGCTCCCACTGGCCCAGACCACTGCAGGCCTGAGTCCAGCTGATGTTAGCTGAGCTCAGCGCCTCCTGGATCTGCTGCAGCTCCTCACAGCTGCTGTTTCCTCCACACAGGAAGTGACGACTTGTCAGGTTGACTGATATCATCAGGCACTTGTAGCTGTTGAACATCTTCTGCATCTCCTGGAAGACAAAGAAAAACAACAGTCAGGGGGCGCTATTATCGCATGACATTTTTGATCAATCAATCAAAGAAAATACATCTTTAAGGGATTTAAACATCACTAATATGTAGTGGCTAACATTTAGCTGGTTGTGTTTTATCTACATTTCTGGTTAAACTGCAGTATTTGTTGTATAACTTTTATATAGTTGTTATTGTGATAACATGAAGCACTGTTATCCTGCTGCCATACGTTTAACATTCTTACCTTGAGTTTCCTGATGTTGACCTCAAACTCTTGGACACTGGCGGACGGAGCGATGCTCTGCAGCCTCTCCAACTCTGGCAGCACACTGCCCAACCAGGAAGTGACATCACCGAGGTCAGAGTTCAACTCCTGCCACTGCTGCAGGTCTAGCCTGACGTCCATCTCCCGGCAGACTGGCTTCTGAACCTGCAGCAGCTCCCAACGCTCGATGACACCTGTGACAGTAACAGCTGCGTCAGCACTTTCTCTACAGACGCAAAGTCAGAGTTCTTCTGAGGTGCAGATCTTTGGGACTTTACCTGAGCACGAGTGTCCGTCAGCTACACCGCTGCTCAGACCTGCGTCCTCTGGCTCCGCCGCCTCCTCCTCATCATTGAGAATCAGTTTGACTTTCTTCACACTGTTGATGCTGCTGCTGCAGTCTGACATCAGTTTTATCTACACACACACACATAAATACACATGGACAGAAACATTTTTTATCTACACACACACACATAAATACACATTGACAGAAACATATTTTGGCTAATATTTGGAAGTTTGTAATTATAAAACTTATTTTAGTTTTCTTTTCTTTTAGCCTTTTTTGACAAACTTTTGGCAGTGGTCTAAATGTTCGACAGTTTTGGCGTGACTTCCGGTCCCCTCTCGGCTCACTTTGACCACCTTTCTAATGATTGTCGTTGTTGTTGTAACTTTTAATAACATTTGCATCTTTCATTTAAAAAACTTTATTGGTTTTTGTTTTTCAATATTTTTTAATAATCGTCAGGAGATATTAGTCCAGAGATAAGAGTAGACAAAATTAAAAGGTAGCTGAAGGACAAGATTTAGCTTATTAAATTTAGCCAGGTAAAGTTTTTGCAAATATTTTTGGTTTACTCTTAGCTGTTAATCTTGTACCACAGTAGAATGTCCAAAAATCCTGGTTAAGCCTATTTTTAGGGGAAAAATTGAGAACTCATAGCTGTTTGGTTGCTCCTAACATCTTTATCCAAGCAAACATTTAGCTGATTTGGCAAAGGTATGGAACATTTTATTAACTTCTGGATTTCTTGGTTATACCATTTATACACTGTTTTAAGAATTATTTTTACCTCAGTTGCCTCTTCTTTTTTTTAAATTTTTCCTCAGGTTATTGGGTTAACTTGTGGTCGTCTATTAGGTTCTGAAATAAAGGAGATTAACTACTAGTTCTTTTAGCTGCCATTAATTTATTAATTCAATCAATTCTAGCTCTTAACCAAATATTAATTGATATTTTGTGCTTCTCTCTCTGTCATGTCTCGTGTATTATGGTTATTTACTGGTTTACTCTTCATTATCATTGCTCTTTTTGTCTAACCTTTAAGCTGTTGTGCTATAAAACCACTGACTGAAGAACAGCAGGTTTACATACTTACATAGCCCTGCTGGTAGAATGGTGAGCTCCTGGAGCCAACTGGAGACGAGGTCATTCCTCTGAGAACTCGGTTCATCAAGGGGGAGTCGGGCTGGTGCCAGCTGGGGGGATCTAACACCGATTTTACTGTAAAAGACACAACCAGGATCTTATTTGTAGTTGCTGCACTTACAGAACCATCCAGAACTTCTGTACTTTTAGACCTGCTGTTCAATCCAACAACCATTCAAACAGCCATCAAGACACCGACCTACAATCGTACATAATGACAATTTAAACTCCCAACCATCCAACTATTAACCATCATCCAACCCATCGACATCTAAAGATTCAACCAACTCAGAAACCAACCAACCGACTGCATGTACCTGACACAGCAGTGAAGAAGGTCACCTCCTCCTCATCTTCATGTGATGAAGATCCTCCCACATCCACAGTGTGGTCCCACTCCAGTGGGATGGAGTCCACACTCACTGGTGTTTCCCTCCCTGATGGTTCCAGTGGAGGTACCAGGAGGTGACACAAGGTCTGACATCCAGCTGAAACTCCACCCAGTGCTGGAACCTCCTCCATGTCCTCCACCCTCTTTCTCTTGGTTTCTCTCCACACTGTCTTGTCGGTCAGATCTGGCGGTTCGTCCAGATCTGTATCCTGGTCGGAGAGTTCTTCTAGAACCTTCAGGTAGACAGACTGACATTACTGTGGGGGCAGACGGCAGAGCTACAGACCTGAGAGAACAGAGGAACCTGCAGCAGTGACTCACTGGTCTTCTGGTGACCAGGCGGTGGTAGAAACGAGCCACTCGACCAAACACCTCCTGACAGTAGGAGTGAAGCTCCTCCAACTCGTCCTCGATCAGAGCAGCGTCCAGAGGAGCACTCTTCTGGATCAGGTTCTCCCCGAACACAATCAGAGCGTCGATTTTGTCGGTGTTGAGAGTGATTTCCTGCTGGAACCCCTGAGGGCAGTTAGAGAAAAAAAAAGCTAAACTAACATTACGTTGGTGCAGCTTTGTCTGAGGACAGTATTTGGTTGGTTTAAGGTCAGTTGATACCTTCAAACAAAAACAAAAGATTCTAAAAAGTTAACACGACCAAACCTTCAAACAAAAACAAAAGATTCTAAGAAGTTAACACGACCAACAAGGTAGTTGTACAGTAGGTGGTTTGTAGCTACAGATATAAGACCACAGTTTGTTCTATCCCTGTGTAATGACACAGATTTACCAGATTTGAACAAAAGGTTCAGCTAAAGGCTACCCTAGGAATGTGTGAGGTCTGTGCAGACCACTCACATTGAGCTGCCTCATCTTGTCCTCAAAGTGGCTCTCAGAGAAATGCTCAACATTGGTGAGCTGCAGGTCCATCTCCGTCAGCCACACCAGGATTCCTTCTCGAGTTCCCTCAAAGTCCTCTCTCTGAGAGGTGAAGTGCTGCAGAGGAGAAGAGCAGACGGTGAAAACCTGAACAAAAACCTCTGTTGCCTTCATTCAAGTGTGTTATTTTTGTGACGTTAGATGTTTCAAATCCTTCATTCCTAATGAACACAGGAGGCAGCAGTGGACCCGTAGTTCCTGTCACTGTGTGATTATCAATCATGTTTTAATGGACTGGTGTGAGTGAGTCGTTTCTGAAGGTGAACAGAACTAATAATGTTCTAATGAGTCTAATGTTCTAGAATGTTTGTCTGTAATAAAGCTAGAACTATTTTTTTTTTCAACTGAATCACATAAAAATAATATCATTGTGCCTATAAAGAACATAACATTTGCATATGTATTATTTTTGGTTCATTAGGAAATCCAAGTGGAATACCCGTTATTTTTACTAGTTAGATTTTACTCTGACATTTTCTTGTTCCTTTTCTTAAATGTCACAGGCAGTGGAAAAACCTCAGTGAAAACAATGACAGGGAAAACTGGATTTATCTTCATCCTTTCATAACTTCCCATAATTATTAAAATTCTAGTCTGGTTTTAAAAATTGACTCAGAGCTCCCTTCTCACAATTTGAGGCAAAACTTCCTTTTAAAATGGGAGCAGACCGGTCCTGTGATGAAGCCCACCTCACCCCTGACCTCACCTTCAGTCTCCTCAGCACGGCCGTCACCCTCCTCTGGAGGACGTCCCACCTCTGATTTCCCTTCTCCACCATCACCTTCAGTTTGTTGGCAGCATCGGTTCTGTTCTCCCGGGCTAGGCGCCGGTACTGTTTGTTGACCAGTTCCAGCTGAGTCAGACGCTCGTGGACCTGACGCTGAAAGGCCTGTAGACGTTTTCAAGGCATTTTTATTACTTAGTCAGGAAAAAGTGAAGCCATTTGTTAGCTCAGTGGTAGAGCATGTGTAAAAAAATAAATCATTTTTTAGGCTAAAATTTGCCGACCACCAGGAGGCGTTTAATTTCTGTCCACTGACCTCAAACTTCTTTAGTTGCTCCTTGGCGCTGGTGTAAAGAACATCAGCAGAGTCAGGGTTGGCAGCCGTGACCTCCGCCGCCTTCAGCCAGTCCTCGAAGTGAGTATAGTCGTCCAGGAACTTACACCACAGACGCCAGGTTTCTTCGATCCTAAGACAAAAAGAGGAACAGGTATTCGGACTTTTACACTAATGTTAGCGTTAACTTGATTGTTATTAATTATGTATTTGCTTCTAGATTACAACCAGTAAAAGGTATATAAAAAGAGGCTAAAAGTGAACTTGTGAAGTGGGTGAGAAAAGGAAATTGAGCATCATCTGCCAGTTGTTGGCCAAGAAAAAGCTGAAGTCACAGAAA